AAAACAGCTTCATCTTGCGTGCAGGAAATCAGCAGACAGAGAAAAGGGTCTGCTTTCACAGCCCTTACAAAAAACAGGTGTTCTCCTTCCCTTCCAAAACCTTTCTCTTAGGTCCAAATATCACAGCACCACCGTGGCAATATCCAGAGTGGGGAACAACAGCCGCCCCACTGCCAGACGTTTATGGAGTGGGGCACGCAGACAGAGGGAAAGGTTTTGCCACACGCAACCCTGAATTGCCTGAAAAGTTACGTTTACCAAAAAGAGCCACTTGGAACATACTGCCAAACAACGCTTGGCAATAAAACTTTCACGGGTTTGACACACACAATTTTGGGAGACCTCACTATTGGCTTCCTGCTGCTACTGTTCTTCCTCCTTCAGAAATCCTACCTGTAGCCAAGTGTTTCACTACCGGTTCAAGCACTTACCTTCCTGGTACTACCAGCACGTTTACACAGGCAAGTTACTCCATTGCTCTGCTCAAATTAGCCAAAGGAAAGTTACAGCCCTGAGAGAGGAGTGAAAAAGGGGAGGTGAGGCAGCAAAGGAGCTCTGCAGGCTGCCACCAGGCAACACTGTGCTCTGCTTTGGAAATCACATACCCACACCCCCGCAAAAAACAAACCAAAAAATCAAAACCATGAGGGAGTCAGGGCGGAAATTAATGAAAGGGAACACCAGCAGCTGCAACATTCAGTGAAAGTGGGCTTTACCGCTAACCGTGGACTTCAGCGACTCTCCGAGTCTACACCTCAATCCGCTGAACAACCAGTCCTTTTCTGGAAGGACAAACTTTTTTGACTTAAAAGTCCCAGATTGAAGGCTCCACGGAACAGAAGGTGGGTTGAGCCAAAGGACAAAGGACACCACCACCTCAACACCCAAATAGAAAAAAAAAAAAAAAAAAAAAGAATAAAAATCAAGGGAAACATCAGTTTCTATTGCGTTTCTTTCATTACACGTCCACTGGCATCTAGGTGCTCCAAAATTAACGATCCTCACACCACAGACTCATAACAATTCAGTTATGCAGGGGGAAAAAAAAAAAGGCTATTTCCAACTTGCTCATAAAATTAGCACGAACAAACAGAAGAGAAACACCGGACCCTAAAGAAGGTGGCAGGCAGCTCTTAATTTATCCAAGAGGAAAATTCGCTCTTTGACCCAAAAGGAAGACATTCCTAACTACCCAGGCACCGGTTCGGGAAGGAGACACGCTTTGTTAACTGCAATTCCGCACCAGATTTTCTACAGTGGCTGCAGATTTGCCTTTTCTGCGGGTTTGACGTCGAGTACCTGAACTCGCAAACAATTCTCCCCGCTCCCCCAGTCCCACACCTGCCATTACCTGAGCAGCCAGTGGGATCAGCCCTGTAGGATTTTCTTCCCGGGACACGCAAGGGTACACTGGGAAAAGAAGAGGCGAGAAATGACCCTGTTTGTCACAGCCAGCCCATGGGGACAAGCTGGGGGACCCCCAGCCCACCTCTGCCCTCGGGAGCAGGGCCCAGAGAGGCATCTGGTGTGGATTTAGCCCCCCAGGCAAGAGGCCGGCTCCTCACCGGCAGAAGGACCACTCGCCTCCCCGCTGCTTGTGGCTCTTTGCTCGGGACAGCCCGGCCTGTGCCCGGCCACTCCTTCTCCTGACAAGCTCCAGCTACTTGCAACAGTCTGGGCTTTTGACAAGGGCGTCCTTCAATCACAGTCATAACTCAAGTATTACAATTAAACACCACAGCCGTACACGGTATAAATATCGATTAGTTTGCGTGAGTAATTACTTAATAATTAAACAGCATATAAAGAAGAGCTGGACTCGAAGAGGAGAGGGTTCCCCCCAGAGACCCCCGCAGATACAGAGTTCAGCCTGCTGCATGCCAGCCTCTGGAACTCAGGGGATCCTGCGGGACCAGACCCCCACCTCCGCGAAGGGTCCACACACCCTGCCCATCCCCTGTTTTCACCCGCAGCCCCCAACGCCCTCCCACCCCTCTTTGCCTCCCCCCCCGCAAACAAAACCAAACAGGAGTCTGCCGTGGCCCCCAAAACTGCTCACTTAGTGCCCCTTTCTGAGCCCAAAACGCCAGCTCCTGGGCCTGCTCTCGAGCCCCAAAACCGCAGGACTTGACTCCTGCTCCTCAGCCCAAAGCCACACAACTCGGCCTGTTTCTCAGCCCCAAAACCAGCCCCGGGAGCCTGCTTTCCAGCTGCAGGGGCAGAAGACCTGCTCTCCGTTTCAGGCCCCAAACCGGCTCAACCTCTCTGCTTCCTCACCCCCTCGGCAGCCCCTGCGGGCCATGCTGAGGGCCGGGGGCGGCGCAGCCACCTCAGAGCCCGCCACCCCCAGCCCCCACAGGCACTTTTTG